GACGACTTCGATATCATTTGCATCATCTACCAGCTGCCTCCGAAGAAGAGGTCATACCACCAGCTGATTAGGAAGAACATTCAATTCGTGACGCACGATCTGATAGCTTCTAAAGGTAAATTTCCCAAAGTGAATACTCTTTAGTAATTTTTCGGACCCTTTGTAATAATTTGCTTTTTTCTTTGTAGATAACTTTAACAGGAAGATACCTCTGAGGCCTGATTTCAAGATCATCTAGAAGATGATGGCAGATGCGAGAGTTTTGAAGACCTCCTCCTCTGCATACAAGAAGCAGATGGAAGATCTGGTAGATGCCAGCAAGAGGCTGCAGCCTCCGACAGAGGAGGAGGTGGCGGAGGATTCGGAGGCCAACTTGCTGCGAAAGGGTAAGGAGTCTACTGGCCCTTCGAAGCGCCCAACAGTAGCTAGGCTGCCTCCGCTTCCGAAGTAGACCACCATACCCACTGGGGTGGCCATCCTGGAGAAGACATGTGCACCCTCTAAGGCTTCTCCTACCCTGGCTATAGCCCCTGTTGCTGTTGTTCCAATTGCCCAAGTGTCAGGGCAACCGAAGAGGAAGAGAGCCCGTCCTTCAAAGGAAGAGGACTTCTTGGGCACAAATTCTGAGGAGCTGGTGAAAGAGGTGCTGGAGGCTCTTTCTCCGGAGACGGCAGCAGTGGCGGTGGTCCACAACAAGTATTGGATAGAGGAATGGAGAGATCACACTGCATCCTGCACCGTCGAAGACTTTATCACTATAAACAGTGCCTGTGTGGCCGGGGCCCTAAGCACAAGTATCCAACTTGGGAGCTTGGTGAAAGACCTCAGTGCCAAGCGGGAGGACCTCGCCAAGCGCCTTGAGGAGATGATGCATTACGGAGAAGCAGTATGGGAAGCCTGGGCCAAGGCCTCGGAGGAGGAAAAAATAAAGAAGGAAGTTGAAGCCCAGCTGGCGACTGCTAAGGGAGAGAGAGAGCGGCTGAAGAAGAAGCTCTATGAAGTAGAGTGCCAGGTAGCTGCAATGACCAGAAGAGTGGATTATGTTAATGAGTACCATCGGCTTGCTACGGAGGCTCTGGAGGCCTCCAATAAAGAAAAAACTGAGCTGAGACAGAAGGCGGAGGCCCAAGCTGAGGGATTGCCTCCCTAAAGGAGGAGATGAAGTCGACAGGGGAGGTGGCGGTGCAGAACTTTATCGACCATTTCAAGGAGCACCCCTTGTACAATGACTTTGCCAACTATTGAGCCTCTTGGAGTGCCCAAGGACTATTGGGTCGGCTAAAAGAGGTCCACCTTACTCTGGACATATCCTCTTTAGAGGTAGAGTTCGGTGGGCCTACTAGAGGCCGACCTGATAGGTTTACTGAGAAAGCTCCAAAGGCCCCCCAAGAGGAAGAGTCGACTGCTCGGGTGGACGACGCCCGAGTAGAGTAGAACTATTTTTGTAATGGTTGCGGCCTCCCTTTTTGTAACTTGATTTTAAGATGAATGTAATGAAAATTTTTCTTTCATGTATTGGTACTTCCTCCTTTTTCTCTTGTTGAGCTGTTCATACTTTAGTAAATGAATGACAAGCACTTAAACAAACAATAAGCACCATTTACCAATAACCAATCGATAAAAGGAGATCAGAGCAATAACATATTAAATAACCGAGGCAACAACTCATTAACTGATCTGACATAAATAACTGAAGTATCATTACTTAGAGGTTACATCATCCATCACTAAGGCTATTTCAGCACTTAGTAAGATAGGAAAGTTACAAATGAGATTGGATCGTGACAAAAACATATTAGACAGCATCGAGATTGGATCGAAATATACGTTCATCATTGATAGTACTTTCTCAAGTGTTCGATGTTTCATTGATGAGGCAGTACTCTCCCTGTCATATCTTCAATTTCAAAACTACCAGGTCGGGACTCCTTGCAGATGCGTTAAGGACCTTCCCAATTTGGTCCAAATACTCTGGCCCCAGTTGGCTTTGATGACTGTAAGACCCTTCTAAGGACGAGGTCCCACAATCGAAGAGTTCAATTTCTGACTTTGGAGTTGTAATAGCGGATCATCTTTCTTTGATACTTGGCCAGTTTCACTTGGGAGTTATCCCTTCTTTCTTCAAGGAAGTGGAGTTCGCTAATTCGAGCTTCTTTATTACCGATCAATTGAAGTGTATCCGATGATGCGATGGGACTCCTAACTCGATAGGGCTCATGGCTTCGGCTCCATAGTTCATCGAGAAGGGTGTCTCCTCTGTAGCGATTCGGCTAGTTGTGCAGATGGCCCAGAGGACGTGGGAAAGCTCATCGACCCACGCTCCCTTCGAGGCATCAAGCTTCATTTTCAGGGTATGCTTGATGGTTTTGTTCACTGCCTCAATTTGCCCATTTGCTTGGGGGTGATGAGGTGTCGAGAAATCCTTCTTTATCCCCAGTTTGTTGCATAAGTCTCGCATCTTCTTATTGTCAATCTGTCTCCCGTTGTCAGACACTACGGAGTGGGAAATGTCGAACTTGCAAATGATGTTCTTCCAGACGAATTTTTTAATATTCGCCTTGATGATCTTGGCAAGAGGTTCAGCCTCGACCCACTTGGTGAAGTAGTCCATGACGGCAATGGCAAAAGTCACGCTTCCTCTCCCTTTTGGGAGTAGACCAATGAAGTCGATGTCCCATTTGGCGAATGGCCATGGACTGGTGACTACAGAGAGGCTTTGAGAAGGTTGTCTTTGAAAATTTGAGAAGCTCTAGCACTTTTCACATTTCTGAACAAATTGGCAAGCATCCCTTTTCAGGGTTGGTCAGAAGTAGCCTTGTCGAAGCACTTTGTGTGCCAGAGCCATTCCTCCGGAGTGATTTTTGCAGATCCCTTCGTGGATCTGCCTACGTATATACGTGGCTTCTTTCCCTCCTACACATCGAAAAAGTGGTGAGGCAAAGCCTCTTTTGTAGAGGACATCCTCTTGTAGGATGAAGTGCGTGGCTCTCCTTCTTAANAATAATAATAATAATAATAAGTTGTGAGCATCTCTATTCTTGCTATTGTGTTTATGGTCAATGTTGATGTGGAAATATATTTTATGCATGTTTCAGAAAATTACATAGATAAATTTTAGGTCAGGGGAAGAAGAGTGATTTTGAAATGTTTAGAGATCGCTTGAACCAAGAAACAAGGAAACATCTTGAAAACAGTGAAGAATCACAGACGAAGATAAATATTTGACACAAAGCAGCACAGGTTTGAGGCCACAATGTGGACACACACACAAAATTGAGAGGATTAGAGGAATGCATAGTCTCCCTCCAAACTTTATTTTACCACAATGAAGGAAAAAGTTTGAACAAGAACCTTACCTTAAATGACCCATAATTCTTGCCTGAATTCTTCTCAAACTTAATTATGGATTTGCTGCTCTTGCATTATCGTGGTAGCTGAATCCTGATATTCATCAGTCTGGTGCAGCCCCTGCTTACATTTATTTATAAACTAAATGATTGGGTATAATCTATCAGATACCCCTCCAAAAAAATCATGTATTAAATTATCTAGACATTGACCAGTGAGGGGCAAGTGCAGTGTATTATTTAATTTATGAAATTTTTTCAGATCTTGATCAGTTAGTTGTCCATGTCCTGCAGATGTACGGAAACCTCGTTATGTTCGCGTAAATACTCTGAAGATGGATGTGAGATCGGCCTTGCTTGAGTTGAGTAAAAAGTATGAGGTATGCTGTTCAACTTATACAAGTACGCTTCAATCAATACTGATCTTAGATTTTTTTTCACTTTAATTGGTGCATGTAATACTTATAGTTTCATTCATGTATGTCGAGAGCACCTCATTGTTATTAGCTTTTGGAGTACTTTCAAGTTACGAGATTATGAGATAGTGAGTGAAAAGATTCGTTAGAGAGAGCTTTAAATATGGAGAGGCTATAATTTGGCAGCATAGAAATCATGATATACTGATACACTGGATGGAACTTTATCTTGTCACTAGCATCTGATGTTAACAATTTTGTTTAATTACCCTATGATATGTTTAGGATACTTAACATGATTCTTTCAATGTACTTTGTCAAGTATTTAGCTGCGACTCTTTTATGTAGTCTCATCGTTTGTTTAACCATGGGGCGGTTGTGACTCTTACCTATATCAATTAGGTTCGGGAGGATGACACCGTGCTTGGCTTATTGATACTCCCACCAGGTGCTGATTTGCACAATCATCCACTGGTGAAAAATGGAAGTGTTTTCATGCAGGTATTCTATAGTCTGCACGAGGCTTTTGTCTTAATATAATATACTTGGTGTGAAGAAGAAAAAATTATTAGATCCAGAAATGTCATTTCTCAGATTTTGAATCTTTGATGCTTCCCATAATTTGTGACAATGCCATTTTTAACTTAGGGCAAGGCAAGTTCCATGGTTGCATTAGCTCTTGGGCCCAAACCAGGATGGGAGGTAAATTAATTAGAAAGGATGATATAGTTTTTCCAGTGATTTAAATTGGAATTACTTAAATCAAACTGTGCTTCTGAAGGTCATTGATGCCTGCGCAGCTCCAGGAAACAAAACAGTTCACCTAGCCGCTCTTATGAAGGGAAAAGGGAAGATTATAGCTTGTGAACTCAATAAAGAAAGGGTTCAACGCCTGGAAGATAATGTTACACTGGCTGGGGCCACTAGTATCCTTTGAACTTCGTTCTATATATATATATATATATATATATATATATAAAGTGACTGTTGCTATGTATTCGTCGTCTTTGTTTCAGTGTTATCTAACACCCTTAATAGTATATTATGATAACTGATTGTTATTTCTTTCTAACTAGTGTATTGAATTTGTTATAATATAATAACTATACTTAACTGGGCCCAGATGTGACAGTTAAGCATGATGACTTCTTGAACCTCAATCCTGAAGATCCTTCATATTCAAAGGTATCGTAGTTGGATCTTATTTTTATTGACTCTCTCCCCTATCCACTGCCCTCTCCTGTCCATCCTTTTTTATATGTTTGCTTGATCATGATCAATAAGTACGATGAAAGTGAAATTTCTGGTGGAAAAACTGTAAATTAACAAATAAAAGTTACTGAGAATCCATTTGATGTACTGCGGAGCATTTGGACAATATT